TATACACTACACGCTACACTACACGCAACACTACCGAACTGCTTGGAGGCAGCATTTTGGAGCTTTGAGGCTTTTAAAGAATGAAATGAAAATACAAGTCAATTTTTCTGTCCTGACCGCAAATGCTGCCCCCTGGCAGCGTTTCGGCAGTGTTGCGTGCAGTGCAGCGTGTCGTGTTGCATGTAGTGTAGCGTGAGTGTTGTGGGTGGTTTGCAGTGTAGCGTGCGGCAGCTGCCATGTAGCTTATTTTGCCTCGTGCTCAGCTTTGTGTGCAGGTGAAGAGTCAGGCGCACTGGGGAACTATGAGAAGAACCAACGATGGATGATCCCCTGGAAGTAGCTGGTGGCGGGAAGAAATTTGCAAGACCAAAAATACAAGAATTCCTTTTCTTTCTTCGGTGGGTGGAAGAAATCCTGCACCACCTCTATAACTCTATAACCTTACATTTGCTAATGCATAACTTGTACCCATGCACCCCAAAGCTCACTGTTGAATGACATGTTAACAGGTGGTTCAGGATTTCCGTCGCTCACACAAATCCACTTTGATCACTGTGTCTTCAATCAATAATAACTTAGGAGCGCGAAGTTTCAAGTGTAGGCCTTTGAAAGTGGTGCAGGATTTCTTCCATCAACAGTACTGAAATTTTATGTGCCTGGGTGAAGAACTGCAAAGAAGCAGCGGGCAGAAGCTGAAGGATGTTTTGGCCACATGCATTAGCCTGTCAGATCATTAATGTTTGAATTAAAGGTCATGGAGCCTGGTGCATTTAAACGTGACTATATTGCAACACAAGCTGGGCAAAGCAGCGCTGGCATGCCGGAAAATGGTTGCCGGACCAGGAGGAGGAGGAAGCAGAATCCTTTTCAAAGAAGCTCATGAAAGTGACCAGTGTTGCGTGGCAGCCCCACGCAACACGTCACTATACACTACACGCTACACTACACGCAACACTACCGAACTGCTGGCAGGGGCAGCATTTTGGAGCTTTGAGGCTTTTAAGGAATGAAATGAAAATACAAGTCAATTTTTCTGTCCTGACCGGAAATGCTGCCCCTGGGAGCGTTTCGGCAGCGTTGCGTGTAGTTTGGCGTGTAGTGCTGCGTGTGGTGTAGCGTGAGGGTTGCGGGTGGTTTGCAGTGTAGCGTGCGGCAGCTGCCATGTAGCTTATTTTGCCTCGTGCTCAGCTTTGTGTGCAGGTGAAGAGTGAGGTAATTCCTTTTCTTTCTTCGGTGGGTGGAAGAAATCCTGCACCACCTCTATAACCTTACATTTGCTAATGCATAACTTGTACCCCCGCACCCCAAAGCTCACTGTTGAATGACATGTTAACAGGTGGTGGATTTCCGTCACTCGCACAAATCCACTTTGATCACTGTGTCTTCAATCAATAATAACTTAGGAGCGCGAGGTTTCAAGTGTAGGCCTTTGAAAGTGGTGCAGGATTTCTTCCATCAACAGTATCTATCCTATCTATCCTATCTATCCTATCCTATCTATCCTATCTATCCTATCCTATCTATCCTATCGATCCTTGCACACGCAACCCCATGGAGAACCAAGGGACTAATGACTTGAGATTACAAAGGCGGCGTTTACATTCCGCTTTACATTCAAGATATTCAAGAGTGGGCTCAAACCCCATACACACACATATATATATACATATATATATACATATACATATATATATATAAATTATGCATATATATATATACATATATACATACATATATATATATATACATATTATGCATATATATTAGATATATATACTACTTAAAGTTTAAAGGAGATATCAAACATCATTCTCCGTCCCTGCCACGAATCCACCCTCGGCGCCGCCTGCCCAAGTGGCATTTGCCCAGCCATGTTGCTCCTACAGGGGCAAGGGTGTGCCTGCATTTTGGGACGTGGGAACCTTGCGGTTTCCAGTGATTTCCCCGAAACGTTGGCCAAGAAACTGCCATCTTATGGTAGCCGGCTGCCAGGAAAAGTTTTGATTGGTTTCCAACATACCAGTATGGATGACAGCCAGCCTGAAACCCTCATTTCCCATGGCGCACAGCATTAATCTGAAAAACCGCATGCACAAGCTTCTCCCCATGGGGGCTAGGCCACAATGGAAGAACAAGAAAGGAGGGGTGCAAGTCTGGAGTTTGAGATGTTTGAATGCCATTTCCTTGTTCCAAGTATAGCCCAGGGATGTTACGACTTGAGAATTCACGAGAATTCTGTAAAAAGAAATCAGTGGTTTCTAAAGTAAACCACCTGCAGGATGATTGGTGAATTGAAACCATCATCCATGTCAATGTCGCTCTGTGCCCTTTGAAAGGTCTGATGGGAATCCAGCCCCCTTTTTTGCTCGTCTCCCCACTGTTTGCCAAGCGACTGCAAAGAAGATAGCGAACGTTGTCCACTCTACGCCCTTGGCACGGATGGGACTCCCATTCTCTGATCAAACAAGCCTTCACACAAGCATATTAAATACCCCCCATGACTGGGCCCACCAAAATGAATATGACCAGTACCAAACCAGGGATTTCGTTTGGGTGCATTACCACAAGGCTGGGAGAACTGCCAGCATATTAGTGATCAGAGCCCTGGGCACGGAAATGCGTGTAACGAAGGGCAAGAACCACGGATTTTGGCAGACCACTGTTTGAGTTCTTAGACCATCAATATTTTAGGTGGATTCTACATGTTGATTCTGGTGCCACACAAGCACAAAGCAACAGAACATGCCCAAATCTGGAAAATTCCCCCCTGTCTGAAGTCTTTGAGGCCGAAATATGCCGCAATCCAATAGGGACCCTTGACAAATAGGCCGAACATATCCCATGAAAACCTTGGTCCACTCATCCAAGGTGAGCTGAAAACTGATTTCCGAGGTTTTGCAAGCACTTCCAGAAAATGGTGACCAGTTTCCGTTTGTAGAGATTGAAATTCCGAAAAGACCGTGCTTGTGGCTTACCATCCCATACTCCACCCAGTGAACTGTCCAGCTGCATAGGAGAGATTGGTGGAAAAGCTGATCATGGCCTGGCTTTGCATATATGAAACCATCTGTACTTAGAATATTTGCTGGGATAATATAGTGACAAAGTATGGGGTATGGGCACCTAGATATTGAAAACCATGGTTTCCCCTGGGGACAATATCTATGGCTGGTGGGTTTACCATATCTATATATCCATATTGTCTGTGTAGCCCCGTCTAGTGAGTCTAGTGGTTGCTAGTCCCTGGGGATCCGTGAAATAAACTGGACTATTCTGGGGATCAAGGCTGAAAACATCAATGTTTCAATGGATGTTCAAGCTTCAGATCTATAGCCAGTGGGAAGTGAAACCCTTCAGATTCGCTGGAGTTACCCCATTTAGCTGGGACCCTGAAACCATTAACTTCATTCCCACACTGGCACCCCCAGCTTACTTCTTTCACATTGTTATATACATATATTCCCACCATTCCCACTGGCTGAGAGGAACGATGGTTGTGCCATTCCTGCATTCATCTGTGTCCGGAAGGAAACTTTGAGATTGGATTCAAATTCAGGTGGTCCAAGCGAAAGCTGCGCACTATCTTGTGGGTGTCCAAGGGCAAACTAGGCACTAAAATACAAATAATTACATTCATCCTAGGGTTGAAGTCTGAAAGTCAGATAAAATCATATATAATATATAATCCAGAAAGAAACCTGGCAGTCTGGCAAAGAAATCAGGGTTCCCACCCTGGAAGCTCACATGGTATGCCAAGGAGGAAACATGTTCAATCATTGCGGGGACAAACAAACTTCAAGGTCACCAATCACCAACCCAAAGCATCAGCCAACTATCGCTGGTTGCATTCCCTTGAAAATATTGCAACAACTAGACGACGGATGGCCCGAGAGCGTAGAGGAGCAGAGTCTTCTGTTGTTAGTATGGAGACACTATATTAAAGATGTATTATAGTTAAGACCTTCTGAAACAGCAAGAATCTGAAAAGTACCAAAATTTATTTTTTCTGATTTAAAAGTGATTTAAAAGTGATTTGGGATATGTAGCCAAAAGTGATTTTAAAGTGGTTTAAAAAGCGATTGGAAAAATGAAAGTGATTTAAAAGTGATTTGGGATATGTAGCCACAAGTGATTTTAAAGTGGTTTGAAAAGTGATTGGAAAAATGAAAGTGATTTAAAATTTAAAAGTGATTGGGGACATGTAGCCACAAGTGATTCAAACGTGATTTTAACAGTGATTGGGAAGTTTGACATGTTCGTGCACATACATAAATACTTCTCAATGAATGCCTCTTTTCATATATATATATACATACATACATTATATATATATCTCTCTCTATCTCTATCTCTATCTCTATCTATATATCCATAAATATTTGTATATACATATCCCTGAATGTTTTTCAGTGGAGTGGGGCATATGCTGAATTTAAGTTGCACACTGTACCCAACCCCAGAATAATTCCAGGCAATCCGTTTCCCAGGAAACAAAGCACACCTGCACAAAATCCAAATGTAGAACCTACAGTCCTACAGTAAATAATTGTTGCATTAATCAGTAAAGTTGCTGGTAATCACCTGCAAAATTTGAATCAAAGGTGTGTTTTTTGAACTGTGCTGATTGCATGCTGCCTTTCCTTTTTCCAATCCTGGAAACGTAAGTGTATTGCAACCCTTGCGCGGCCATCATCATGCAGCGCTGAAGCTGCTACTGTACCTGGCCAACCTAGAGTTGTTGATATCCCACTGCCAAAATGGCTTCAGCCTAGGTCCAAATTCCGAGGTCTAAAACCAAGAAATCTAAAACCAAGACTCAACTAGTAACTAGAGTCTAAAGCCTAAAGGCCTAAAGTCGACATGATAAAATGATAGAACGAGCACGTGGTAAGATGAAAAACAACTATCTTTTGCCTTGTCCTTCAAACAGCCAGCCACAAGAAACTGACAAGCCTGGACCTAAACTGATTCGATTTCACATGCCCGCAGGCCCACTGAGTCTACTCAAGGTCTGCTTTAGACTTCGACTCAGGCTTCGATTTCATCAATTTGATCGCCATGTTTTTGACAAAAGGATGCACCAAATCTTCCGATCTGCCCTGGCTTTCTGCCTCAACCTCTGCCCACTGAGACACCAGGAGGCTCTTCTTCTTCTCCTTCTCACCCGCACTCTCCTTGTCATTGTTGATGACCTTGAGGCAAAAAATGATGACACTTTCGCTCAGGATGACCGCAGCCTTCCCCATGCCTTCCTGCTTGGAAGCTTTGCTCTCAGCCAATTTCGCGAGGTCTTCGCCAGCTGGAATCTTGGACTGGTCGCAGAGAGAGGTGAACGCAGCCAAGAACTCCTCCGACTGGCTGATGTCCTGCAGCAATGCACAAGTCCCACCTACGACCATTACAAGCCACGAGTCATATACTACTGGTCGTATACAGCCCCCCCAGTGCATTTGAGTAAGTTCAAGTTCAAGAGGTTCTAGATTCCAGATTCATTCTACATTCTTTTTAAATTTAGATGATTCTGAAGAAATTGATAGTATAGTGCAGTGTAGTTAGTGAAGGGTAATGTAGTGTAGTATAGCAAAGCACGGCAAAGCAATGCATAGCAAAGTGAGGCATATGGCATATGGCATAGTGTAATGCAAAAGAATACCTCAAGAAATTCCCCAACTCGATAAACCACCAAATATGTATGTAAAACCACCACCACAAATAGATATTCTACTAGCTGCTAGCTATACTATGAGTTTGCCAGCCAGTCAAACAAATGTGACCCTTTAAATCTCCTTCTCCAAATCGGCAAGGGCGGATTTCAAGGGTTTCACCCTGATCTTGGAAATCGTGTTGGCTGAAGCTGTCACAACTGATTCCAAAAGATCTGGGTTTTCACAAGAGTCATGCCATGACTTCTGCAACCACTCCCCGACAATGTTGGCGACGCTCTCAAATGCAACATCCAGTTTGCGAATGGACTGGCACACAAGCATCTTGACTGTGTCTAGGAGCTCAGTCGTGCACTCCTCAATCTGGGTTGCCACCACCTTGTGGTTCAGCTCGTGGTAGAGCTTCTCGGAAAAGCTCAATCCTGCTCCTGCCTCTGCCAGCTTGTAGCAAAGACTTTCCATGGCAGTGGCTTCTTGGAAAAAAAGCTTGTGTGCTTCCATGCACTGCTTCAAAAGCAAATGCTTGGAATCTCTGCGCAAACGATTCTCAATGTTCTCTCCAAGTGCGATCCACTGCTGACACTTCAATTTGGTGACCACCGATGCCTTGACAGATGCACAGATGGTGTCAACGACCGGCTTGCAAGGGTCATTCCCAGTCCTGCTCAATGTCTGGACCACACCGATCTTGGCAAGGACACCCTCGAGAACCTTTTTCTCCGAAGAAGCAACCTGCAGAAAACAGAAACATTTGTGTTGGGCTGTTGGAAGGTATAGATAGGGGTGAGTGTGGTCAGTTTGGTCCACATATAAAATTCCGAAACCAAAAGTATGAAAAACACAGTTGTCGAAACCTACCACGTCAATCTCGTTTTGGTCCACTTGTGTGTCTTTGATGCTGAGATAGGCCCAGAATAGTAATCTGGTTAAGAAAAACGACAAGAAGTACACTGCAGTGAGCAGATCAGAGTTAAAAAGAAAAACACATGCACCTCTGAGTACATCTCTTTGACCCCGTAGAAGGCGCATTCTCTCAAGAGCTCTGGAAGATCATCAGGTAGGGTACCACTGCCACACCTCTGCATCATTGTCTGGACTGACTTGATTGCGTCGATGTCCAAAGCATGAACATCTCCTGCTTCACAATCCTCATGTGCCTTCTTGAAGCTTCGTGCCCAAGAAAACAAGTCCTGTTTTGCGATTGCGTTGTTGTGTTTGGTGGCAAAGGCTTTCAATTTCTGCTCTGCCGCCAACACCCTGTCGTCATCGTTCATGCTGTCCAGGGCTGCCTCAAGATCCTTCAAATCTTTGGTAGTGATAGTGCTGCTGAGGCACGGGTCATTGCACAATTTGCCCACATAAGCCACCACTTTGGTTGCAATCAAATCAGCAAATGGTTTGGACTCTCCCATTCGAAGCCCATCTTTCAGCTTTGGGAGAAGACGGCAGGCGTCCAACAACTTTTCAGGGAGAGGGTCATCAACGTCCACTGACTCTTTGGCTTCGGTCACAAGAGGCCGAAGAACCTCACAGCTAGATGCTGTGCGAATAGTGTCCTGCACCACTTTTTTCAGCAGTGATCGGGCTGCCTTTTCCTCATCACAGGCATCAGCTGGCAAATCTCCAGACATCAGTGTACGCATGTTTCTGGCAAACTTTGATGTTCCAGAAGTCGGGTAGTTGAGAAAGTAGGTCACGCTTTTCACGTCATCCGGAATGTCATCCAGCTGGAAGACAGTTCCAATCATGGTTGCAAAGTGACTGAGTTCTGTGAAGAGGCTCTTGAGTGAGCTCCTTTCAACCACATTGAAGAACTGCTCCCTATCGGAAATCGATTCTGGACAACTCCAGAGGCCATGAAAGGCAATGCAAAGCTGAGACAGCACCATTTTCACATTCTCAGTGGCGCAAGCTGTGAGCAAGCCGGTCATAAAGTCACCCTGGAGGCACTCGCCCATAGTGTTTGCCAAGACCTGGGGAAACATATCGTTTATAACTACCTTCTATGCATGTGAGAGTGGAGCTGTGAATGTAATTATGAATTTATATGTCGAGGAAAGTCGAGTAAAACCAGTGACTAGTGACTAGCGACTTAGTGACTTAGTCTTAGTGGGTGATTGAAAAAGAACATTCTTTTTGTCGTGTCCAAGTTCTTTTCATTTTTTTTTATGTGTCATGTGTCCAGGTTCCTGTAATTCTCCTGCCTTCCACTTCTCGACCGTGCCCTTCTCGTTGGTCTCCCCTTCACACGCCCCTTCATCGTCTCCATCAATCGTATTCATCAAATCATCGAGAGCATCCCCACATGTAGACTCTTCGTCCATAATCTCCTTGGCAATCTGATAAAAGCTTGGCTTCTCAAAATCCAACAGATCCGGGGCATCAGAGGGATCAATGCTCCAAACGAAGAAAGCTGCCAGAGAATCACAAAGAAGAGGCTTCCACTCCGACATCGTTCCTTCCTGAGAATGGACAAGTGACAAGGGAAAAACATAAGTATACTAAAGAGACACACTAACACTAACGCAGCCTCATCAGACTGGTGACTGGTATGGCCTGTGCTCACCAGCACAGGGGAAATCAAATGGGTTCAGAGAAAGATGGCTCAACACATGAGCAGCCGAGAAGCGGACGCATTGGTGATGATGAAGTCAAACTTGAAATCAAGCATCCTTCCCGTCAACCCGGACTTCAACTGAAAAGGAAAGTCTGCCTTGTTCTCGTTGAGAAGCTCCAAGATTCTAGTGATGTCGCCCTCCTTGAGCGTGTCAATCCGCTTGGTCAGAAGTATCTTCACCGCCTCAATCTGTGCAATGCGATCCTGCAGCGTGACAGCGTCTTCCCTTGCTTTGTTCTCCTGCAAAATGTCCAAGACTTTGTTGGCCTCATTGATACCATGAGCGACACTGCGCCAACAATGACTGATTGAATTGATGATTGATACTGAGTGAGATTGAATGAAATTTACTCAAGCTAGGCTGCTAGTAGTGTGTGCCAGATTTGCTCTGGTGGATGATTCTGTGTCCTCAAGACAAATAAGGATAGGACCCCGTTCAAGACATGGCCAATCTTAGTGTCACCCTGAAACTGCTTGGCAACAGTGAGCATCAAGAGGCAAGGCGGGGTGGCACGACCGGTGATCTTGTGATGCTTTTTGGCAACGTCGAACATCAATGGATCGGTAGTTTCCAAGTGGGCCAACTGAGAGCTCATAGTGCTTCCTGCTTCTTCCGGAATGTCATCCTCCTCCACAGGTGCAACCTTGCGTTTCTTCTTTGTTGATTTCTCGGGTGCTGCCATTGCACCTCTCCCCAACATTCTGTCAGCCTCTGTTACAACCTCATGCTTGGGGCCCTCACTGCCACCCTCGTCACCATTGCAATCCATTTCATCCAGCAAATCTTGGTCCTTCCCAGAACTGTCTTGGGAATCTGGCATCGAAGCATCTTCACGCGATTCAGTGAGTTCTCGTGCAAGCTGATGCAAGGAACCACCAGTGATCATGGACGACTTGCCATTCAGCTTGAAAGGCCGAGCGTTGTCAAAGTGCCCCTTCGAAGCAAAAGAAAACCACTTGTGACCCTGGTCGTCAGTCAACTGCTCACCAGCCTGCACCTGGAATTCACTCTGGTTCACGGCCATTTCATGGCAAAGCATGACTCGCCTCATCCCAAAGACCTCTTCAGCCGACAAGCCCTTGAGGCTGATAAGGTAGAAGTTTCGCTTCTCCCCCTCCTCATTGACCCCCTCAATCTTCTTCAGGTTCTGAACGTCCTTGACAGAAATGCCGAAAACATCCGTGAACTCTGCCTCCGTGAGCAATCCAGCTTCCCAATAGACAATACATCCTTGGAATCAATAGTCCCTGCCCCTTTGATGGTAGTTTAAAATGTAAGGCTCCCTCTCTACCCTATACTTTTAAGTTTTAAAACTCCAATTAGAGAGTTTAAAGTTACGTTTGGTTGGCCCAGGGCCCAAGGCTCACATTCTTTCCCAGCCCCAGTCATATCAATAGTAATAGTCAATCGCAATAATTATTCGTTTGCCCTGGTATGGATACTATGTATATAATACAACACAACCATACGTGACAGAACCGACATATGCCACATAACCGACATAACCTGTATTACTAGTACACTAGACTATGTATAATATAGTTGCAGTATGTTCTAGATTCCAGATACCCCACTAGCGTCACCGAGTGTCACTAGTGATCATATTATATATCCACAAGAATGCTTAACCCTTTTTTTGCAGTATGACCTCAGTATGAAAGCAAAAACTACTTAGTACTTACTTAAGACATAGATTGTTAAACTCTTGGATGCGTAATGCAAATTGTCCTGTGACCTAAACCCCAGCCCACATTAGTGGGACAGCTGCAAATCAAAACGAAACCGGATGGTGGAAATAATTCAACAAATTTGTTCTCTCTTGAAACTCTTGTTTTATAATGTTGTATTGCTTTGTTGTTTCTTTCACTTTCAACATCTTTCAACACAAACAGAAACATTTTGAGTAACCCCACAACCACAGCCCCCTCTTACGTGCAAGCTGCGGTTGCTTGTATTGGTAAACACGTCTGTGGGTGGGTGGCATCCAGGAATGACCCTGTGCTCGTCGAGAGCATCTAGAGACTTTTCAGCATTGAAAAAGACCGTCTTGAATGCCTTGTTCCCGTTCACCCTGTCAATGACAACCTCATCTGCCTCGTCTGGACAGAGCTTGCACTTCAACTTTTTGTGCTTGATGCACAAAACTCCCACTGGCTGTCCACTCTCGTTCGCTGGAAAAGAGACTTCCTCACAGGAAACCCGGTTAGGCTAGATTAATGGCTAAAATAAGCTACAGCCAAAACATCCCCAAACTACTAGTTACTAAGCTATATAGTTCTCACCCGAGTTGAACAGAAACATGGAACCATTTAAAGCATTTTAGAGCCATGCTGAAAAACTGTGGTCTGGGTATAGTTTGTTGATGTTTGGGTTTATTAAAAATTTATTATATGTTTTCCCTTACTTACTTTTTCATGACTTTTGTCACCATGCTCTCCTTTGAAGTCTTACCACAGATTCCACATGAACGTAGAGCAATTCTGCCACGGCTACTAGTAGTTGATGGTCCACTTGATCGGGCCGACGGTGCCGCGGTCGAAGCCACAGACAAAGTGCCCTCCCCCTCGTCGATCTTTGCGATGTCTGTGCAAGAGCCCTTTTTTGCATTCGGGTTAATCACCTACACACAAGTTCATCAGTCGTTGACGGCTGAAGAAACACCAGCATCACAAACCAAACACATGAAACCAGAGACTGAGAGAGAGAGAGAGAGAGATTCAAAAGGGTGACTGGCTAAATGAAACTTTTTGGGAATTGAATAGACTTCAGTGCGCCTAAAGGACCTATGGAACCTATGGCATAGTTAGGACTTGGGACCTAATGGCCGTTGACCTATGACATATGAGTCAGCTACCAGGTGATCAATTTGAAGTTTCAAGTCACGAGTCTAGGTCAGTAGGTCCCCCTTGAACATCACTTGCCAGAAAAAGGTACAAAATTATGATTGAATTTTCCACGAAGCCTTAGCCGCCTTAGCCTTAGCCTTAGCCCTGATATCATGATTTTGCTGCTATGTCCATGAGTTTGTGTCTTGGTTCATGTCTCCCTGGTTTAAGTTTTGAGTCTACAGAGTCTACAGTCTACAGTGTAGTGGTAGTAAAGTATGACCCTGTATGCGAGGCTCTGTGTTGTTCACAATATACAGTTATTGTGAATATGAACATATATGAATGATGAGGATGTCAAATGACTATGACGAAAAATGTATAATGAATATGATAAGAAAAAAATATTCCCAATTAAATTGATTCTATATGGATATGGATGCGCTTTTGCAATACCATACAAAAGGGACATGTTATTTTATTGGGCTGTTTTCTACGAAACCTACCCCCTCCAGTCAGTCTAGAGTCTAGAGAGTCTAGAGTTTAGAATCTAGAATGCAACTAGCAACTACTAATAACTAATAGCAAGTTTCCCATAAAGGAAAAGTGCCAAGGGTGGGGGGGATTGTTTTTTGCTTGTTTTGGGTCATTTTTGGCTCTTTGGCTACACCAACACAAAATTACATTATGACAATTTTCAAAAGACTAGTGACTAGTGACTAGTGGTCGCTAAGAAGGCAGCGTGGCTACATATTGTGTTACTTCCTCAACGTACCAGGTGTGAGTTGTAAAAGAAGTGAATCAGCAAATCAAAGTTGCAAAAACATTGTGCATAAACTACTCTGATGTGTGTATAATATTCATATTCATGTATGTTGGTACCATTGGTAAAGTTTAGGCTCTAGACTCTAGACTATAGACTCTGCTCTAGACTCTCGAGTGACTTTTGTCCCTTTAGGATTCTTGGCTCTTTTGTATTTCAAGTTAGCTTTTATTACACTATGACTCAGGCTTGACACATCTACTAAACCTATAGATCTTAAATGCTGTCTTACGTCTTACGCTTGTTTAAACCATACCCCAATCTGCCTTGAACTTCCCAGTGGGTTTGACAGACGTCGCTGATGCTTTGGCTGTAGCCTTGCCGGATCCCAATGCCTTGCCGGATCCCGATGCCTTGGGGGCTGCCTTCTCAGCCCGTAAACCCTTCCCCATGAAGTCGCAGTTGGGCCGGAGGAAAGGGCAGGAGGAAAGGGCTGGTGTCGACTCGGGAAAAATACAAAATGGCTTCAAACAAACAAACAGTGAACTTCCAGAATGCTATTGCCATCAAACTAACCTGAAAGCTCTCCAGATTTCTGCAAACCCTCAAACAACGCTCAAAAAGCCCACTTTAATCTAATGAATCTAATGATTCTAAATGAGATTTGCAAATGGTACTTGGCAACTGATGACCTCATTCTGCGGCCTACTAGAGTCTACTCTACTAAGTAGTTACAGCTCGAGCCGTCCTACATTTCTCCGCTTCACTGTGTTCAGTTTGTAAATTGTAAGAAAAGCTGAAAAGTATAGTAGACGTCGCTGTGCCAAGCAGAAGCCTAAAATTGCTTCATGGTGTTGGTGCCACTGTCATTGGCAGGTTCCACTTGCTATCACAAAACATCATTGATGATACTTGTCGGCAGCAACGAAAAACCAGGAGGCACATAGTAAAGAATAGTAAACAGTGTTACTAAATTGCAACAACATACTTAAATCATAGGTCCCTTTGTATTGTAGTCATTGTAATGTCTAAGTCTAAGTCTAATGATTCTAATGATGTTGGTTTTCTGGGAACCCGCCAATTTATCTGAAATTATTGGCAAAAATGCCAACCGCAAGACCCTGGGCCTTGGACTCAAATTTGAAGCTTTGAAAAAAGCTGTTATGTCACAAGAACTGGCTAGCTGCCCGAGTTTCTTGCATACTCAGGCAGTCAGTCAGACAAAAAGTCTAAGTCTCAAGTCTTGAATCAGACTCAAATTCAGAATGTTCAAGACCAGCAAAAAAATATTCGATTGTATAGGGCATGGTAAAGAGGTTAGTAGCAATGTTAATCGAATCTAATCAATCTATATTGATTATCTACTTAATTTAACGATTTAATCTATATAATCGAGTCATATCAATTTGGCATTGGAGATCTGAGTTTGAATCTGAATCTAAGCCCAATCTAAACCGTCTACCATACGCTATCTATACTTGCACGAATTGCATTGGCTGTCTGCTAGCTGCTAGCTGCCCGTACTTGCTACGTCTAAGAGTGTCTACTCATCACCAAAGTCACTGATGTCAAATCATCGTCAAATTTCGAACAAGATGAAGACACCACAAAACATGACCCAAACACGGAAGAAAAATGCCTTCACCAGCCAGCTTCCGAACATTGTCCTCCGTCATCGAAGAAGGAACGCAAATCCCCTCTGGGTACTGGAGGAGTAGGTGCTCTTTTGCAACAAGCATCCTGTCCAACCTGTAATGGTACAAAGAGCTACTGGTAGTAAGTGTTATCATGGGGCCTGAATCCTCCCCGCTCAACGGTCGACGGACATGGTTTTGGCTAATGTCCATGATGAGTGACTGATGAATTTGTTTATTGATGCCTTCCTCAGTCACATTCTTGGTGATTTTCAAACGCTTTTTCTTACAAGCCTCTATCCATCCACAATTGACCAGATCGTAGGCACGTTTTGATCTGGGAAAGCCTCGCCCCACAAAATTGTCACGCCCAGTCCAAGGTGAAAAATCCATGGGTACCCCAAGCTTGGATCTCCACGCAGAAGACTGTGCCTTCCACTGCTTCTCTCCATTCCCTCCCGATAGCTCCTGCCGTGAGAAAACCATGTGGGCACCGTGTGGGCACTCCCAAAACACCCCTACATTTTAAACACACACAGCTCAAAATTACTTTTAAATCACTTTTTTGATGATTTTGGTAAGTTTTCCCCTAACCAAGCCAAAAATTGTAAAAACCTAGGGAAAATCACTTTTAAATCACTTTTAAATCACTTTTTTTGATGGTTTTGGCAAATTTTCCCCAAACCAAGCCAAAAACTGCAAAAACCTAGGGAAAATCACTTTTAAATCACTTTTTTTGATGGTTTTGGCAAGTTTTTCCCAAACCAAGCCAAAAACTGCAAAAACCTAGGGAAAATCACTTTTAAATCACTTTTAAATCACTTTTTTTGATGGTTTTGGCAAGTTTTTCCCACACCAAGCCAAAAACTGCAAAAACCTGGGGAAAATCACTTTTAAATCACTTTTAAATCACTTTGAAATCACTTTTTTTTGTGGTTTTGGCAAGTTTTTCCCAAACCAAGCCAAAAACTGCAAAAACCTAGGGAAAATCACTTTTAAATCACTTTTAAATCACTTTTAAATCAATTTTTTTGATGGTTTTGGCAAGTTTTCCCAAAACCAAGCCAAAAACTGCAAAAACCTAGGGAAAATCACTTTTAAATCACTTTTAAATCACTTTTTTTGATGGTTTTGGCAAGTTTTTCCCACACCAAGCCAAAAACTGCAAAAACCTGGGGAAAATCACTTTTAAATCACTTTTAAATCACTTTTTTTGATGGTTTTGGCAAGTTTTTCCCAAACCAAGCCAAAAACTGCAAAAACCTGAGGAAAATCACTTTTAAATCACTTTTAAATCACTTTTTTTGATGGTTTTGGCAAGTTTTCCCAAAACCAAGCCAAAAACTGCAAAAACCTAGGGAAAATCACTTTTAAATCACTTTTAAATCACTTTTAAATCACTTTTTTTGATGGTTTTGGCAAGTTTTCCCAAAACCAAGCCAAAAACTGCAAAAACCTAGGGAAAATCACTTTTAATTCACTTTTAAATCACTTTTAAATCACTTTTTTTGATGGTTTTGGCAAGTTTTCCCAAAACCAAGCCAAAAACTGCAAAAACTTAGGGAAAATCACTTTTAAATCACTTTTAAATCACTTTTTTTTGATGGTTTTGGCAAGTTTTTCCCAAACCAAGCCAAAAACTGCAAAAACCTAGGGAAAATCACTTTTAAATCACTTTTAAATCACTTTTTTTGGTGGTTTTGGCAAGTTTTTCCCAAACCAAGCCAAAAACTGCAAAAACCTGGTGAAAATCACTTTTAAATCACTTTTAAATCACTTTTTTTGATGGTTTTGGCAAGTTTTTCCCAAACCAAGCCAAAAACTGCAAAAACCTGGTGAAAATCACTTTTAAATCACTTTTAAATCACTTTTAAATCACTTTTTTTGATGGTTTTGGCAAGTTTTCCCAAAACCAAGCCAAAAACTGCAAAAACCTAGGGAAAATCACTTTTAAATCACTTTTTTTGATGGTTTTGGCAATTTTTTCCTAAACCAAGCCAAAAACTGCAGAAACCTGGTGGAAATCACTTTTAAATCACTTTTGAATCACTGTTAAATCACTTTTAAATCACTTTTTTTGATGGTTTTGGCAAGTTTTCCCAAACCAAGCCAAAAACTGCAAAAACCTGGTGAAAATCACTTTTAAATCACTTTTAAATCGCTTTTAAATCACTTTTAAATCACTTTTTTTGATGGTTTTGGCAAGTTTTCCCAAAACCAAGCCAAAAACTGCAAAAACCTAGGGAAAATCACTTTTAAATCACTTTTAAATCACTTTTTTTGGTGGTTTTGGCAAGTTTTTCCCAAACCAAGCCAAAAACTGCAAAAACCTTGGGAAAATCACTTTTAAATCACTTTTAAATCACTTTTTTTTTGATGGTTTTGGCAAGTTTTCCCCAAACCAAGCCAAAAACTGCAAAAACCTAGGGAAAATCACTTTTAAATCACTTTTAAATCACTTTTAAATCACTTTTTTTGGTGGTTTTGGCAAGTTTTTCCCAAACCAAGCCAAAAACTGCAAAAACCTGGGGAAAATCACTTTTAAATCACTTTTAAATCACTTTTTTTGATGGTTTTGGCAAGTTTTTCCCAAACCAAACCAAAAACTGCAAAAACCTGGGGGAAATCACTTTTAAATCACTTTTAAATCACTTTTTGTGTTGGTTTCCTGGAGGCATCAAGAAGTGATGGAAAAGTGATTTAAAAGTGATTTAAAAGTGATTTAAAAGTGATTTAAAAGTGATTTAAAAGTGATTTAAAAGTGATTTAAAAGTGAGGCTTGAAAATGAAAGTGATTTAAAAGTAATTTGAAAAGTGGTTTCCAAAATGAAAGTGATTTGAAAGTGATTTGTCTAGACATCACTAATCAGTACTCAGTGGTCCTGGGCATCAAAAAACCGATTGCGTTTTGAATCCAGGGCAGCCAAGTCTTCATGGCTGTTTGGGAGGAGGATGTCTTCAATAGGTTTGGGTCCATTCTCTTCGACGAACTTGATCTGTTTGTCCTGCACCTCCTTACCATTTGAATCAGTTGGAAAGGTTTGTGGGAATGTGGTTTTAATTATAATTGCCAGTGGGGATTTCTCAGTCACATAGAAGTTAAACAGTCACTAGCTAGCTACTGTTTCAATAGTTCCCGTGAATAGTTCCAACTGTCAATAATGATTCAATAGTTACAAATAGTTCAATAATGGAATTGACTGGTACTGCATGATAATTGATTATATAACTAGGTCACTAGGTAGGTGACTCTGTTTGATCAATCGAGTCCAAATCATTTCAAACATTTCCAAATCCGAGTCCGGTATGCCACTGTCACACATCTTTTTTGGGAGTTGAACTGTTTAGGCTTCAGTCATACCAAAGCCAACCACCAATAATCTAATTAATAATCATCATACACGAGTACAACATACAAGTGCCCAGTGAGAATAAATAATAAATTAAAAACATACTTACAATCTTCGCCGCGCAAACCCGGACCTGTCACCCAATAGCCGAATAGCCCCCCCTGAACCAATTAGACTCGAATCTGGCAAGTGTCAAGCGCCAAGTCTTTGAATCGCTTGGCATCATTCACAGAGAAGATGTCCTTTCTCAGAAAGACCATGTAGATCCTCCAGATGACCAACAGTGGACAGTGGGCCATTGACCGGAAAGTGGGGAAAGTGAAGTGCCAACCCTGACTTAAAATCTAGATTCGGTTTTTAGATTTGATAATTTATTTATGGTCAAATGGCTGATGATCGGCTGATGGCAAACCATCCGTTCCTGGATTGACAAACAAATATTTGTGCATAGCAGCATAATCCTAGATA